ACCGGGCCAACGTCGGGACGGGAGAGCAGGAAGATGCTGCAGAGCTGCAGCAGGGAACTGAGCGCTTCTGCCCACGCTTCTGCTGACCGCCCTGGAGGATGGCAGCTTGGCCATCTCCCCGTCCACGGGAGCTATGGGGCACGGCATTTGGGGCCACCCCGGGGGGAGGGAGCACGGTCACCCGTCAGCATAGGTTCCCACGGCAGCTGGGGCAGACGCGCGTGGGTTGCCCAGGACAGAGGAGTGGGGAGCACTGGAGCCTGGGGAGCACAGCAGCCGCTCCCCACCCCCCGCACGCCAAGGGCATCGTCCCGCCTTCCCGCGGCGACGCTGGCACAAGGACATCGTCCTGCCTTCCCGCGGTGACGCTGGCACAAGGGCATCGTCCTGCCTTCCCGTGGTGACGCTGGCACAAGGACATCGTCCCGCCTTCCCGTGGTGACACTGGCACAAGGACATCGTCCCGCCTTCCCGCGGCGACACTGGCGCACGCCTCTCCCTGCTGCTCCATAACCATGGGACAGACGGGGCACTGACCACCACCGGGTTCCCACCCTTCCCAGCTCTCCCTGTTCCCAGGCTCTTTATGCCCCCCCCAAATCACCTCCCAGCCCAAGTACCCTTTCTTCCTGCCACTTGCAAATCACAGTCTCTCCTTTTAGCGCTTCTTTCACAGGTCTCACTGGCGCACGCCTCTCCCTGCTGCTCCATAACCATGGGACAGACGGGGCACTGACCACCACCGGGTTCCCACCCTTCCCAGCTCTCCCTGTTCCCAGGCTCTTTATGCCCCCCCCAAATCACCTCCCAGCCCAAGTACCCTTTCTTCCTGCCACTTGCAAATCACAGTCTCTCCTTTTAGCGCTTCTTTCACAGGTCTCACGCTGGTGTGATTGCTTTGGTGCAATTCTTTCTTGCCAGCACAGGGAATTAATTGAACGTGGGTGCTTGCTAAGTGCTTGCGGTATTACACTTTCATCCTGGTGAAGGGAGCGGGACTTAGCAAAACAAACTGTGTCAGCCCATGTACCAGTCCTGATTAATTTTGTCAAGGTTTCTGCTTTGAGGCTGATGCTGCCAGAGCTTGCTCTCAGGAGAGAATTACGAAACGCACTCACGTATGCTCCTGAGAGGAGTGGAAGCATCCTGGATATAGCTTAAATTAACCTCCCTTCCACTGCGGGTGCTCAGGCCTGTCACACACAGCCCCCAGCTCTGCAAGGAGGCTTGGAGCAGGATTCTAAGGCTCTGCCACAGGGTTCCTACTTGCCCTGAACTGCCGAGGGGTTAGCAGGCACCCTGGCCAAGAGGGGAGTGCAGGATCGGGCTCCCAGGGATAAAGGCAGAGCTGTGGGTACGCGAGATCTCTGCAGGGCACTAGAAACGTGTCCGAGCCACAGCCTGCGGCCAAACAGGGAGACATTCTCACAGGGGTCCTGCGGCTGTACCCGGACCTTGCCATGTCCCTTGGAGCACCAGCTCAGCAGCCTTGCCCTCCGGCACCATGGTGGCATGGGCTTCCCCACCTTTGGAATGCCCTGTGTGGTGCCATGCTGACCTCTGATAAATGCCTTTACAAACCAACCACTATTGTGCTCTCGGTCCTTGTCTGACAGAGCGGCTCGAAATGAAAGGGAATCCCAAGGCTGAGCTCGCCAAGACCTCGCTGCCCAGCTCTCGCTCGGTGCCCATGGGGCCTCCGAGCAGCACAGGGAGGTTCAGGCTGCAGCAGCTCCCAGCCAATTCCTGCAGCAATGGTGGGAACAGAGGAGATCAGTGGTCAGACAAGGGGATCCCCCCCCGGGAAACTTCAGCCCTCCTGTTTTCGTGACCAGGCTGAACTGGAATGGTTAAGTTCATCCTTAGAATCACAGAATCCTAGAATGTTTTGGGTGGGAAGGGACCCCTAGAGGTCACCCAGCCCAACCCCCCTGCAGGGAGCAGGGACACCTTGAACCACATCAGGTTGCTCACAGCCCCGTCCAACCTTAGGACTCGCTGCAAAACACAAACTCCAATTTCATTTTCTTTTTCATGCATTAAAACGTCCAATCTTGTGACTCCCCACCAATGCATCGTTGCACACGCAAAGCAACGTAACGTTATCTGTGCAGTGAGTCTGCGCTTACTGAAACAAAAGATTTTGAAAATATCAAAGCAAAGTATTTAGAAGAGGATAAAGACAAGGAATTTAAGATTATACATTTTAACAGCTCCCACCGGCAAGAAAATAGCAGCATTGTTGTCATTATACTGCAAAAGATTTCAATAAAGCTGCAGCTTCTGAAGGGAAGTGGTAGGGTCCAAATCTTTTCGCCCTTGCCTCATTTAAACACATGCTCACAGCACGCTGCTGAGTAAATACTGCTGCAGGAATCCCCGCCGGCCGGCGGCGCGAGCCTTGCCGCAGCCAGCACGCCTCCCTTTCAGCTCTGCTCCTACGCCGCGCCTCCCGCACAGTCGAAGACGAAACAGAATTTGCCCCCCAAAACACGCCACCCGAAAAGGACACGAGAAAAAGCGTCAGACCAGGCCACCAGGAGAGTGGCGCAGGGAAGAGGCGTCCCGGCAGAGCG